TAAACTCATCTATAAGGTTTTTTTAAAGAAAGGTCCTCATTTACTTTGGGACAACTAGCAATATAAAATAGCTTGAATATATGCCACGTAGGTACTTAACTTTGCCACAAAAAAAATAAAAGGATTCCTGCGTCTCTAATGTATTAACAAACATACAATTTCACATATAAAATACACCCAGATTAAAAACAACAATTAATCGTTCCGTGCGGGTTTTAACAGCCGGTTGCCGAGCCACTGCGCCTACGTCGCAGCCATCACCCCGTATAACAAATCAAGTCATGATTGCTACCATCTTAAGAAGATGTGAGGAGAACACAAAATGATGATCGTAAATCCATATTATCGCATTACTGGTATGACTTTAAAAGATGAATGTGTCACTTTGTATAATTAGTTTGTATTAGCCTCAAATTTTGAAGGATCGTCCCACTATATCACTTTAATACAACAGGCGTAGGCAGGTATTATAAAGTCATAAAAATGCTGGTTGGTATCACATTTGTCGAAATGCTAAACCGTCGTTTATAACATTGTTAAATCAATGTTTGTTTTATACATTCAATTGTATTTCTTTAAGTTAAAAAGCTTATTCTCAGTTAGTAGACCTAAAACAGATAGGTATTAAGATTCAAAATCTTCATTAATCTGTTTATAATTTTCGTCTTTAGGTTTGAAAGCTAGGAATATATTTACCTAAATGTATTAGAGTCAGTTATTTGAAACAACTTTTGAATAAACAAGTGAATTAAGCATATGCTTCAGATATAAGCCAGTTATCCCCTGGACTGATCACTAGAACCCGCAAGTCTTAAAACTAAGATATTTTATCATAATGCAGATTAAGATGCTCTAATTACTAGTAACTAGTAGATAGTATGTGTTGCATTCGTCCGTGCGTCACTGCAGGGGTGCCAACTGAAAATCAGTGTTGGGTGCTCCGTGCCCAGCTTTTGCTGAGTTGGCGACCCATTCGGATTGGGCATGTCCGCCAACCCAGGGTTGTATTATTGTATTTTGTTAGGCTGTTTTCACGTTATTGTTTTGATTAATTTTATTTTTATTTTATTTTGTTATCCTGTTACTTCAAACTTTTATTGTTTTGTTTTTTTTATTGTTTTATTTTTTTTTTGTTTGTTCTTGGCCTTCATGTCTCGGTCCGAATAAAAACAGTTTTCTTTCTTTTCTTTCTTTCTTCTTTCTTTATCTTAAAAAACACTAGAAATCAGATATCGCACAGGTATTTTAATGAATATTATTATTACATTTTACGCATTGTTTTCATAAGTAACAAGACTTTTATAAATGGACAAGTAATCTAGGCAAGTAGTAGAATGTTTTCCAATCTAAGATAAGTACGGTAATTTGTATCTTAAAGATATCCTCTCTAAGCCGTGATCGAAGCTACAATGTTGCTTATATTTGTCCCGAGAACTTGACTTCAAACGAATGGATTCCAACAAAGTACTAATGTAAATGTACAACTATTGTAAATCAAGCAGAAAACAACTTCGAGAAGTAGACTCGCAGAAAAATACGGCTTGACTTGGCATTAGGTATGTATAGGAACTTGGTCTTCTCGTCAAAAATACTGCAAAGCCAGAAGACCTAGCAGTGATGACATACGGAGCAGACTTGGAAAGTGACAGTAAGTGGCAGACTGATCCACCAAGTTAAAGACGTGCAGTGAGTGAAGGATCTAATTCAAAACGAAGTGATTAGCTAAAGCAAAAGATAAGCAAACTAAAAAGACTGGGCTTGTTACATTTATCAAAGTACCGATGACTGTTGAGGTAGACGGTTTCTAAAGTGAGCACCGCACTATGTAAACGTAGTGTAAATAGGTGGAGTGACAAAATCCATTTGGTGGTTGGCAGTGGTTGAATGAGAAAAGCTGAACATCGAGTTCCGTGGCGAGTTGGAGATGCAAATATTAAGATAATTATAAGTATTACCTTGTATTAGGTACCTACTAATAAGAAAGACAAGATAAGATACCTTAATAAAAAAACTACTAATAAAAGTAATGTCATGAAAGTTGAAACTGATTGAGAAACGCAATTACAGAGAACAATGATTAAGTTCGATGCAATAGGATAGGTGCTTAATTCGAACACGTTTCAATAAATTGAACGATCCTTAGGTAGGTACTAGAAAATCAAGCTCGGTATGTCGAAATTTTGATTTTCAATTTGCGTTGTTCGTGTACTTAGAATTACGATGATAATGATCGACAAAGACGTGCTACTTCTTATAAGTACCAAAAGTCTATAAAAAAAATATGTATATATTATAATTATGCACAGTAACTTATAAAACATCAACAACATAGCAACATCATTAAGATGTAGGTAGTCAAAAAGGAATATCGGCAAAGAAATGAAAGTATCCACCCACATACTTTTTTTCCGGGAATCCTTATAAGGTTGAATGTTTTAAAAAAACTGAGATGAAAGTTGAATGAGACAGAAATAAGATACAGTATAAATCTTTCCGTACTTGACGGGAACAGTACACCGAGATTCTTATAAACGAAGGACAGTTAAACCAATGTAAATGTCGTTCACAAAAATGTTGTAATTATTCGTAGAATATACCTCCTTTTAATTATTTTCAACAGACATACAGATAATAGATTTTTTTTTATCTATTAGCAAGAATTCTACACCTTCTTCCGATAAGAAAATATTTATTCAAAAAAAGAAATGTTCTTTTTTTGTACTTGTTCAGTAGTAGTATTAGGTACCTACTCGTGTATCCAACAGAAACAAGATGGCGACAGCAAGTGTCAACTATAGTAAACTATTTATTTTTTTAATGAACAAGGCGCATTGTTGTTATTCCCATTATACAACCACTTATATAAATAAAATTAAACTTTAACAAAATCGGCATACCATACATACTCATAATATGCATATTAAAGTGTCTATCTGTTAAGTTGATACAAGAATAAAATAGAGATCCCTTCAATTATAATACGCAAAACCACCTCTTGGTTATGCCTTATTTTAAGGCAAACTTGTGCAATAGGTACATAAAAAAATAAACAATTAAAATTACAGGATAATGTTTCAGTTAGGCACAAACAAAGCTTAAGTAGGTACCTACCAGTAAATATAAAGATCCTTAGCCCTTAAAAATGTTTTAATTATTCCTTAATGTCACTTTGATCTCAGATTAAACGTCAGATTCAACTTTCGGAAATATTTAATAAAGAAATTAATACGACATTCTCGCCATCCAGTAGTTTGTGTAATTTGAGTTCTTTAGATGTTTTGTAAAGCTTTTTTTCAGTATTTTTAATTTCCTAGTTACATTTCGCAATTGTAGGCCTAAAAATGTATATACAATTTTATAAACAATGTCGTTTGAGAATATTAAATAATTTGTTTGTTAAATAAGCATTATGAAATGGAACCACGATGGGTGCCACTTATCCGATGAAAAGTTTATTAAAACAAAGGTCGAACATCATAATTTTACCTGTCTGAGTGAATATAAATAACTTATTAATGTAGGAACAGGGAATGTCCAATGACTGATTCCTTACTCGTTTATATCCGTAATTGAAGTGCGTGATTACATAGTGCGACAGACAAACAACGTACCCTAGAGGTAATTGCGCAGTGCGATCGTTAAGTTCGTTCCTATTAACGATAACAAATAGGCATAAAATGTAAAATATCGATAATTCACTTAGGTACACGATATTATTGATTTATCGTAACCCGAGGGCAAGGCGGAGTGCAGCCACTCTCCACGATAACGTGGCCAAAATAACTCCGCGTCGAGCATCTCAAACGTTCCACAGATAACATAACACAGCACGATCGTCTAATATTTTTATTATATACTTAGTGGCCAGTAATACGCCCAATTTAAAGTGCAAAACGGCCGTAAATCTAGCAGTACTCGTGTCTAAATGTGGACTGTGCAACAGATTAGAAGATATTGCGAGATCGTGTCTCGATTACCATGTTCAGGGTATGAATGCATCCGAATGGTAATTAATGGTCTTATGCATTCTGCTCGGTAGTCAATTAACGTGAAAACGCATTCTAATTTACGTTAATTGTTTAATTATGAGCTGATTGTCATGAGGAACGTGTTGCTAGAGATCCGAGAACCCATGTTTGTAACTGTTGTTTCTACATGCCATTGTTATTGAACACTGTTTGCTCTATTGTATAATTTACGTAACAGATTTGTGCTTTATAGGTATTCACGTGTATAATGTAGTACGTTATTCCATTCCACAAGTGGCTATGGTTGGCGCCAGACCGTCAGAATCTGGTATTTCTACCGATGCCAATTAATATGAAAATGCGTTTTGATTGATTCCAATCACCCGCGTGAAGGGTGCTTTTAAATATGATTTAGCGTTTGTAATCAAATGTTCTGGGCGAGGCTGCTGTCAATCGAATGTTGCAACAGTAACTACAAATAAGACGTAGTGGGAAAGTTAAATCCATTCTTTCAATGCAAGTTAAACTCTAGCTAGAGCTTTACACCGTCATATTGTTAGGACACGGTTATTATAAAAGATCTTATTAATTTGATCGTATTGCATAATTTAATAGCAACTATAAAAGGACATCCATACGTGTTACCTACTGTCAGGGGTCAAAAATGCAATTGCACTTTACCAATTTTAAAATGACCAAAATATCTTTGTAGGATATAGTCAATGGACTGGAATGGAGGACTGCTTTAATTTATAGCATAGAATCTAAATTATTGAATAAACTGGCTGTGAACCATTGAACTTTTACTACAAAGAAATTTTAGTCATTTTAAAATTGGTAGAGTGTAATCGCATTTTTGACCCCTGACTGTACCTACATTTCCAGATAGCATTATTTAGTTCTGTCACTTCTGTCTCTTTTAACATATACTACTTACCATAAAAAGAACATCCTGTAAGATTTTTTCTTTTTCTTAACTCTTAACAGAACTACTTACAGAACTTAACAGAATACGTAATTTATTTGTTTCAGAAGTTCCGGGACTATGCGGAGAAATTAGCGAGGGTGGCAAGGGAGGAAGCCAGGCCAGAACAAACTCAAGAACCACCACCGAGTAAATATCTTTATTTTCTTTATATTTCTAATTTGCGTTAACATCTGTTCAGAAATTAACATATTCATTGAATACCTACGTTCATCAAGCATAAATCTTTATTTTCGGTTCAAAATTTCTTCAATCGCTTTCAATTATGTATATGTTTGCCTGATTATACTCCTATAGGGAGATCTGCATTAGGTCTTAACTAAACACTATTTTATAACTAATCTCAATCCAAAATCTGTGTATTGAGATCGATTTTTGACATCAGCATGTAGTTTCTGTCAAAAATTAACCCCGCCCCCAATCAATTCGGAAATGATCTTAATCGTATTATGAGTACATACGCTTAAGATTAAATATTAATATTAAGCATGTACAATCTGAATTAAATGGAGCAAAATAGTACCTAGTTTTTGCTTCATTCAGAAAAAATACTTGATATTTGCCGAGACCCCTCCTTCTCCCTCCAAGGTAAGATTAGATGAAATTTGATACGATCCTCTCCCCCCTTAAACATGTCAAGTATTTTATGAACGCCCCCAAAGCTAAAATCACGACTGGCAATATAACCTAGAGCAGTTTAAGCGTTTCTAAGATTTGTTAATCGCGCCGTCATTTATTTTATTTACAGTATATTTATTTAAATGCTTATATCACTCAGGTTGATCAAGAAAACTTAGGGCCACAATTTAACACGGCACTGTGATTAATCAATCAAGTTGTCGCATAGTAATTATCGAAATAAGGACGGCCACTCATTCGCTTTTAATGGAAAGACCGATGTTTTGTATTAAAACGTTACATTGGCATGTGTGGTTGAGCTGTCTTATTTAATTTTTACCTAGGCATAAAATTATATTAATATACTTATCCAATGTGAGCCTCCTCGTATCCCGTGGCTTATTATGGATATACGTTTAAGCAGACGATTGACCGTAACAGCATTACGTCTGAGGTCCGGGCACATGCCACTCGACAAGTTTGCTTTTATGATGAGGAAAGCTAACTCCTCGAACTGCGTTTGTATGGCATGGTAGAAGACGTGCATCACTTGTTGGTGGAATGTGCACGGTATCAGACGTACAGAGAGTTCTTGATGAGGAGTCTGAACTTGAACAGATTAAATATAGGTGTTTCACAATTTGTTGTCAAATCCTTCTTCGGATTCCTCAAGAAACCTGTTCAAAGTATTAATCTTTGTCACGATGGAATTGGCATATACTGTAATGTGTAAAAATTCCTAAAATAATAAAGAATAAATATATATATGTACCTACACATATGTATCTATGTATGTAGATATTTGTCGCAGCGAAATAGTTGAATTCGCTATCCAAAACGGCCTGAGTGACTAGTATTTTGATTGGATAGCAAAACTTCTGATTCAGGTTGTAAGTTGAAGGGTAAAGAGATTGTCATGAAAACCGAGTCGTACTAGAGATTAAAACTGTGATCTGCACAGAAATCGAATCGCCATCGCAAATAAATGGCTATTCAAATATTGTACTGCGATCGATGAGCTAAACTGATTGATATATACACATATACTATATAAAACTACATAATAATAAAAGGAGTGAGTGAAGCAGTTAATATATTATATTGCTTCCCTTGACATTCTTCAAATATTTTCATTCAATCTAAGTATAATGACAGAGAATTCAGTTGATCCAAGTTAAAGCTACTTCATAACTCCAAACATACCTTTGTAAAGAAACACGCAGCAATTTATTCAAAATTGACCTATTTTAAACGACTCCATACGTTCTCAAGTTTTCAATCTGTAGATACTAATAGATATTATTAAGAGGTAAAATTAGTAAGTTTGTAATTTTGTATGTAGGTGGTACCTAATCTTTGAAACCGCTGGTTGGATTGCCAAAATTCATTCACTGATGGCTACAATTTTCCTGAATGCTATAGGTTATAAAACATCACGCTACGATCAAATGGACCCGAGCAGCGGTTGAAATCGCACGAGACTGGCTAGTCTGTGATAAAATAAGCTAGCAGGATTTGTTTTGCACCTACTAACATACAAGTGAAGTTAAAAAAGGTTATCTATGCATAACCTTTAACAATTTCTACGAGTATGTCTTATATGTCTATTTAAAGCGTAAAACACCTAGTTAGGTCAATAAATCCGTCACAAATAGTTAATACTACCTACCTTTTGCCCGCGACTTCGTTTGCGTCGAATAGTATTTTCCTGCAGATTTTTGGTAAGTATAAAAACTATCCTATGTCCTTAATTTCACAGAAATCTGTTCAGTAGTTTAGGCGTGAAGAAAAGACAGACAGAAAGAGTTACTTTCGCATTTTTAATATTAAGTAGTTTATGGATTATTATTTGATTGCTAGTCCAGTAGTAAGGGAGAGTACCTATACCAACTTACAACCCACCTATATCAATAGAAAGATATAGTCTAGGTACTTAGTACTACGTAGTCTTAATGTTGTGGTAATAAAACTACTCTACTGACATAGATATAGTTATTAACTACTTACAAACATCCGTACTGAAAAGGTAACTGAGATAACTGAGTATTTAGGTACTTAGACTACTTAAACTACTTGGGTACTTTGATATTTTCTAACCGACTGCTCCCTCTTGGAAAACGCCTAACTTAATTATATTATTACTTAGGCTTAGATTAACATAGTGTAGGTACCTACCGAAGGGGATTGTGCGATCCATGGCCCTCTACGGTGCCCCTGTGTGGGCGCCGGATTTGAAGCGGCGGCCGGCTCGTACGCTGGTCGCGTCCCAGAGGGTCATGGCTATCCGAATAATCCGCGGATATCGCACGATCTCCGGGGAGGCGGCGAACCTCCTTGCCGGATCACCGCCATGGGATCTGGAAGCGAAGGCGCTCGCGCGCGTCTACAGTTTGCGCGCAGACGCGCGTCGCCGGGGCGAGGATCCTCTGCCGCGCCAAATTAGTGCGTGGCGGAATGAGCTCCGGCGAGATCTCATGGCTGAGTGGAAGCAGCGATTGTCGCAACCGAGGGCCGGGCACGCTACTATAGCAGCGGTAAGACCCCTCTTTGAGGAGTGGCTTGAGAGACGCCACGGCGTCCTCACCTTCCGCCTGACGCAGGTGCTTACCGAGCACGGCAGCTTTGGTAGGTTCCTGTTTCGGATCCAGCGGGAGGAAACGCCCGAGTGTCGTCATTGTGCGGATCACCTGGAGGACACGGTGGAGCATACGGTGGCGGAGTGCCCTGCTTGGGCTGAGCACCGCCGTGTTCTCAGGGAAGTGATCGGCGGCGGCAACCTCTCGCGCCCGGCCTTAATCGAGGCCATGGTGCAGCGTGGGAGGAACTGGGAAGCTATCTCCTCCTTCTGCGAAGCAGTTATGCTCGCAAAGGAGGCGGCGGAGCGCGTGAGGGAACTATCCTCCTCGCGCCCCAGCCGCCGCAGAAGGCGACATTCCGGACGTCAGGGATCGAGAGATGATCTCCGGCCACCGTAAGCGCGGGTCTGCGGACGGCGAGTAAGGGTAGCTCGCCGCCCGACCAGAACCGGACCCGAGCGTACGGCGCGTAGCGTTCCGCGCGCGCCTCAAAGAGCCAATAGACCACCACAGTCGGGGCCCTAAAGGGCTGATGTTTAGCCGGGGCTGCGGGGTAAGCGCAATGAGGCACCGCGACCTCGGCCCACAGCAGGAGAAGGAACGGGGGGGTTTTTAGTCAGTAAGAGTCTGACACTCTCTCTCGCCTTACCCTGGGCGGGAGAAGTCATTGGATGATTTTCCCCTGACAAAAAAAAAGGTACTTACCGAAATATTAAAAGTACGTAATATAAATTACTTACAAAATTGTCATTTCGTAAATACACTAACTAACAGTTTTAACTATACCTAATTGACCTGGAAAACTTTGTTCCGCCTAAAAATTAACTTAAGTTTTCCGACCTTTTAAACCTTCCCTGGACTTTCACAATTAATCCAAGACCAAAATTAGCCAAATCGGTAAAGGCATTGTTGAGTTATAACATTACAACGAAAATTGGAATAGATTTTTATATAGGTATATAGAGTACTAAGTAGGTTTACAAGTACTAAGGACGTTCTATATATAAACAAGAGAAAACATTTAATTAAATTAAATTTAAATTTATAATTGAAACGGTTACAATTTCCATTGCAAGTAGGGCTTGGGAACATTACACGCTAGTTTCTATTTGTCGTGTCCATTTGATCATTTACAACGGATTGATGGGCCTATCTGTTGTGCCAGATACTTACTTCCCTTTACTTCAAATATATAAAAAAAAATGTAATCAATATCCATTCATTGTCGTTAACTTTAACATTTAGATTTGTAGAGGATAAAATAGATAAATAAAAATAAATAAAATAGTTTCATTGTGCCTCAAAATCATTACAATACTTACATGTAAACTGAAACATCCCCATTAAGTTATGTAAAATACTAAACTTGTGTTGGGGCTGCTTCAGTCATTCGCTTATTTAAATCTATATTGAGACAAGACCTTATGCTAATAAACAACCATTCAAGATAAGATAAAACTAAAACAAAATGAAAAGTATAAATTAAAAAAAAATATAAAGAATTCAAGAAGTCATACTATTGTTACGTGCCTGACGTCACGTTCCTGACTATGCGGGCTTGGGTTACGGGATTGGATGAAATGAAACACTAATACCGGTTTTCAGACTTTCTATTGCGCTTAAGTTACAGCGTCCACGGAGTTAAGTTATCGGCGTTCCTCTCCAGCAGAGTCCGGCCGACTGACACAACTTTGCCGTTCACGCTAACTTCACTTAACTGACTGCACTTCACTATTTCACTGCACTTCACTATTTCACTCACTTTTCTTCTTTTTCACTTCTTCCTTTTCTTCCGAATCGCTTTAGACTTAGAACTCAACTGCCAGCGGTGAGCCGCAGTTCCGCTTATATACCCCCGGTCAGGTTCTAGAACATTCAATTTCGTTATTCTTTTTTGATCGTCATGCCTCCAGAACCTTCCAATAATTTCGTTAT